TGCCTTGGTCTCGACCTCTAAAGGTCTTGGTCTTGTTTGGGTCTTTACCTCTAAAAGTCTTGGTCTTGCCTTGGTCTCGACCTCTAAAGGTCTTGGTCTTGTTTGGGTCTCGACCTCTAAAGGTCTTGGTCTTGTATTGGTCTTGCCCTTCAAATGTCATGTCTGTACTGTTTGGTCTCTCGTGATATGGTCTTGACTACAAAACTATTGATAAAGAATGCTGTAGCTTCCAGGTTGAGGAAGACGATCAGAAAGGTGATGGATCCAGTCTAAAAAGAGATGACAGCCTGTCTTGGCTAAAGGAGATGGGAATCCAGGACAAACTAGGGAAGCCTGAGTCCATCAGCATACAGATGTATCCTCCCCCAGCTCTGAAACAATCCATAGCTTTGCTCCTTATTGGTAGAAAAACTATAAACTCTGAAGGTTCCTTAACCACCTGTACAGACAGAAAGAAGGTCAGAGTCTTACCCTGGACCACAGACCAGAGTCTGCAGTGTGTGTGGAGGGGGCGCACACCTTCAACCTCATCAACTTCCTGATCAACTGCCGGAGTGTTGTGGCTGCGGCCGGATCTCAGACTGGTCTGCCACCGACCCTGCTGGCCCCCACCGCCTTCAGAGGCGCTACCATGAATGTGCTGAAGGTCCAGCAATAAGATCTTACTAGTTTGTTCTGATTCGACCCTTGATTGAGTTTTTAAAACATTTTGCTTCCAAAAATGTTTTCTGGTACCTTGTTAATGTCTGTTTGATGGACTTAACACTTTTATAGAAGAAAATGAACCATAAAACAGACAGATTTTTAAACTCCAGATAAACATTTGTGTGTTTTCCAGGGCCGCAGTGTGAATGTGAAGAACTTGGTGGATTATAGCTACCACAACATTAGCAGCCTGGAGCTCACAGGTACACAACCAAAATGTACATTGCACCAAACAAAACAGGAACAGAATGAAAACACAGCAAAATCGGGAGAGATGTTGATATATATTGAGCGTTTTTATGGTGGCTGTTATAAAGTCTATTAGCTGCCAGTAAGGATCTGTGACAACACTCCTTTGTGCACCGAGGGTGCATTAATATTTCACTGAAGGATATCAGAGACTTTGTCCCTAGAGACTTTAGTTTTACCTGAGTCCTGTCTTCCACCATCTGGACTGTCCAGGGGCATTCTGGTTCAGAACTGGCCTACTGAGCAGCGTAGCTAGCCTTTTAGCTCCAGATGCCACTATAGATTAAGGCAGGTCTTTAGGAGCGCCCCCTGCTGTTAAGGAGCAACATCATATTTGCTCCAGTTTATTGTTCAGATATAAGTCAATGGTTCTAAAGAGCGTAACGTTCAGGGTCCACTGGGTCGTCCTCGCCAGTCGAGTCAGTTGTTGATGTCGAAATGGGGAGAGGATGCAAAATTCTGAGTTAGGCAGGAGCTGTGCTCAGGGTAGTGAGTGAGGAAAATGGTGGTCCAGTCCTCAGACTACCTTTAGCACTGGTTAGGGAGTCATTGCAGCAGACAGATGATGGCGTCATCCTCCTCAGTGCCAGGCTGGTAGGCGAAGTGCTAGGGACTCCTGGGGCGGGCAGAGGGACAAAGGCGGATTGGAGGAGTGGCCCTCTTGGGTCAACCGAAGCCGGGCATACCCTGTACAATATTTTCAACTGTTGTACTCAGCTACAACTCAGCTACTCGGCGCCAAGAGATGATGTTGATCGTACTCATCAGTCTGCAAGGAGAAGAACTTCCTTATTTGCTTATGCGGAGTGCGCAGGGTTCAAGTAAATCGGCTCATAGACGCTTGTATCTCTGCCTCTACAGCAGGATTTGCAAAGGAACACTTCACGAGGGCCGACTGAATTTGCAATGGGTTGAATATCTCCTGACCTTACGATTCCTGATCGGGAAGTGGTAGTGAGAGCCTAGTTGCCCCTCGTTAACTGCTGTATAGCTACTACAGGACGCACGATCAGGCTGAAACTTGGCCCAATCCAAAATATTCTCGCACAACCGGAGAATCGGCCTCAAAAGGGCAAATACTTGATAAGGGAGTGTGCAGTAAAGCCATCATTCCTCTATATCACAGACTTGAGCTGAAGTCCAACCGGACTTCAAACCTTTGGCCAGTTTTCCAGGCAAGTCCTAACAGACAAAGACCCGGGACGGAAGTCTGTCGATGGGCCTGGGAGTCTCAGAGTAGCTGGAGGAGAGTTTGGGGAGATGAAATGTGGAATTCTATACGATCCGGTTTGGGATATAAGAAAAAGACCAAAAGTTGGACATCATGACTAGCGATTTCCCAATCCGACATTAATATCAGTTATTGGTCCGATATTAGAATAAAAACTAATATCGGATTTTATCAGTCAGCATCTGAAATAGCTGATAGTGTCGAGCAATTAGAAACATTCTGCTTCTGTTAAGTTATTGTAACCCATTGGGTAATTTTACAGGGTCAGTTTTTTCATACCTTTTGTTTTACTGGTTTGAGTAATACTACAACAGTAGCAGCCATTCAAAATGGCCCTTCCCACTGAAACGCCAGCCGAATGGCAGCCAACACCCAGCAAAATCACCTCTGTGAACCCAACATATTTTTATTTACTGTGACCAACCCTTTCACTGAATTACAGAGTCTGACCAGGAGATTGCGCTTCTCTTTAGATCTTAATGTCAACAAATCATGACAGAAAGAATATTTTAGTACAAAGATTAATGTTTAAAAAGGAATTGAAGGGGACCAACCAAGAGACAGCCAGTGGCCTGCCAGGGACCAGCCAAGAACCAACCAAGGGCCCATCTAGGAAGCGGGGAAATTTTGAATGGCTACTACTGTATAAGCTGATATAGTTTCGGGTCAATATCGGTATATGCCAATTCTCAAAGCTGTGATACCGGTGTCGTATGGGAAATGGAAAAAGTTGTATCCCTGATCATGACATCATTGGCTGTGATATAACTGGCATAAACCAAGTGATCTAAAGGTCTTTCCTCCCTTTAGGACCCATCCTCCCTTCTTCTCTTCATGCCATCACAACTCTTCTTCAAACTGCACAAAAAGGCAACTTCTCTGCCGCTCTTTACACCCACACGCCGACTGCTGTCATGAACATAAAGACATGTGAGGCTCAGGTAAGATGTTTATAGATTCAAATGAATGAACACCTTCATTAGAAAAATATCGAATCAGGGCGGAGCAGATTTCAAAGTTCTTCACATGACGTTTGGTAAGAAAAGATAAAGTAAACCGCTGTTGCATCATTAAGACAAGTTTCTTCTGATTTAAGAGCCACACTTTGTTGACCTGGGTTGTTGAAGTCATGATGAGGCTGCGATCATTGGAAGGAGAGGATTCTAGAGACTGATGTCCTGTCTCTCTGCTCAGCGAAGGCTCTTCTATAGACATACATAGACGCCTCATTACATGTTGTTGGCAGCGAGGCAGACGGCGCTACAGGGCAGCCATCTTGGGTCAGACCACAGTTCAAACAGCTGGGTCAGAATGTATAGGAGGCGCCTTAGATCTGATTTTAATCACAAGGAAGATGAGTCAGAGATGATATCACAATAATCTCTTACATGTCAGAGACCCCTAAAAGACCAAAACACATTTTATTATGACCTTTCAGTCAGATTACACACAAACTACAAAAAATCTAAATACCATATTTCCCAGACTATAAACCGCCACTTTTTTTTCTCACGCTTTGAACCTTGCGGCTTATAAGAAGGTGCAGCTTTTTCTTAACCCCCAGAGGGGGAAGAGAATAAGGGGCTAATTTCCATGTAACACAGGAATGTGCTAGTAGCACGCACGACGGAGAACAAATGTGCCGAATTCACACATTTTTACATATATTTTCTGAATCAAAGCTGCCGAACCAATGAAGAGACTGGGCTCAACTCCTGCAGAGCTAAGATAAAGAGCTGATGAAGCTCCATCTTTCATCAGAAGCTCTTACTGCTGTGCGATAACAAGCTAACGGGAGCTAGCATTCTTCTTCGTCCCAGGGGCCCCTCGCAGATTTGG